TCAGGGATTCTGGGATTGGGATCTCAGGAATTCTGGGATTGGGGTCTCAGGAATTCTGGGATTGGGGTCTCAGGAATTTTGGGATTGGGATCTCAGGGATTTTGGGATCTCAGGGATTCTGGGATTGGGATCTCAGGAATTCTGGGATTGGGATCTCAGGAATTTTGGGATTGGGATCTCAGGGATTTTGGGATTGGGATCTCAGGGATTCTGGGATTGGGATCTCAGGGATTCTGGGATTGGAATGTCAAGAATTTCGGGACTGAGATCCCATTAATTTCTGAATTGGAATCCCAAGAATTTCAGGATTGGGATCTCAGGAATTTTGGGATTGGGATTCCTGGAGATTTTGGGATTGGGATCTCAGGAATTCTGGGATTGGGATCTCAGGGATTCTGGGATTGGGGTCTCAGGGATTCTGGGATTTCAGGATTTTGGGATTTTGGGATCTCAGGGATTTTGGGATTTCAGGGATTTTGGGATTGGGATCTCAGGCATTTTAGGATTGGGTTTCCAGGAATTTTGGGACGGGGATTTTGGGAATTTCGGGAGGGAGATCCCATTAATTTCTGGATTGGTAATCCCAAGAATTTCAGGATTGGGATCCCAGGAATTTTGGGATTGGGATTCCTGGAGATTTTGGGATTGGGATCTCAGGAATTTTGGGATTGGGATCTCAGGAATTCTGGGATTGGGATCTCAGGGATTTTGGGATTGGGATCTCAGGAATTCTGGGATTAGGATTTCCAGAGACTTTGGGATTGGGATCTCAGGAATTTTGAGATTGGGATCCCAGGAATTTCAAGATTGGGATCCCTGGACTTTTAGGATTGGGATCTCAGGAATTTTGGGATCCCAGGAATTTTGGGATTTTGGGATCCCAGAGATTTCGTGATGGAGATCCCAGGAATTTTGGGATTTCCAGATGCCAGGAATTTTGGGATTGGAATCCCAAGAATTTCAGGATTTGGGCATCCCACAGAGATAATTCCAGTATCCCATTCCCAGATATTTTAAATTTTAATTTAATTTCAATTAAATTTTAATTTTATTGTGAATTTGTGCAGGTGCTGATCGGGGACGAGCCCGAGCCCGGCCTGGAGAATCTTCTGGAAGTGACAATTCCCCAGGAGCTGCAGCAGCACCTGGCACACCTGGACAGGGACCCGGGCCAGGGGACACAGGGGTGACACCGGGGGGACACCGGGGTGCCACCAAAATGACACCAAAAGTGACAACGGGGGCGTCCCCAGGGGGGACATTTGGGTGACAGTGACAACGGGATGGGTCCAAAAAGCCACCACGGTGACATTGGAGTGTCCCCAAGGGTCACCACAAGTGACACTGGGATGTCCCCAAGTGTCACCATGGTGACAGTGACGCTGGGATGTCCCCAAGGCTCTGTTTTGGTGACACTGGGATGTCTCCAGATGTCACCACAGTGACACTGGGATGTCCCCAAGGAGCCACCATGGTGACAATGACAATGAAATGTCTTCAAGGAGCCATTTTGGTGACAATGAAATGTCCCCAAGGGTCACCACAAGTGACAATGGGATGTCCCCAATGGTCCATGGTGGTGACAATGACACTGAGATGTCCCCAAGGGTCACCACAAGTGACACTGGGATGTCTCCAAGGCTCTGTTTTGGTGACACTGGGATGTCCCCAAGGAGCCACCATGGTGACAGTGACAATGAAATGTCCTCAAGGAGCCATTTTTGGTGACAATGGAGTGTCCCCAAGAAGCCACCACAGTGACACTGGGATGTCCCCAAGGGTCACCATGGTGACAGTGACACTGGGATGTCCCCAAGGCTCTGTTTTGGTGACACTGGGATGTCCCCAGGTGTCACCACAGTGACAATGCAGTGTCCCCAAGGAGCCACCACAGTGACAATGGGGTGACACTGGGATGTCCCCAAAAAGCCACCACGGTGACAATGGAGTGTCCCCAAGGGTTACCATGGTGACAGTGACAATGGGATGTCCCCAAGGGTCACCATGGTTACACTGGGATGTCCCCAAATGTCACCATTGTGACACTGGGATGTCCCCAAGGAGCCACCATGGTGACAATGACACTGGGATGTCCCCAAGGGTCACCACAGTGACAATGGGATGTCCCCAAGGAGCCATTTTGGGTGACAATGGGGTGTCCCCAGATGTCACCATGGTGACAATGGGATGGTGGCACCAAAATGGCACCAAAAGTGACACTGGGATGGCCCCAAAAAGCCACCATGGTGACACTGGATGTCCCCAAGGAGCCAGCACGGTGACAATGACAATGAAATGTCCCCAGGGAGCCATTTTGGGTGACAACGGGATGTCCCCAAAAAGCCACCACGGTGACATTGGAGTGTCCCCAAGGGTCACCACGGTGTCACTGGGATGTCCCCAAGGAGCTGGGATGTCCCAAAGTCATCGAATTAAAGGATTTCACCCCAAACCTGCTGTGGCCTCCTCAGGGTTGGGGACACTGGGGCGGGGTTTGGGGACATTCTGGGGGGATTTGGGGACATCAAGAAGGGATTTGGGGACATTGTGGCCAGATTTGGGGACATTTTGGGGGATTTGGGGACATCAAGAAGGGATTTGGGGACATTTGAGGGAATTTGGGGACGTTTGGTGACATCAGGAGGGGATTTGGGGACACTGGGAGGAAATTTGGGGACATTGAGGGAAGAATTTGGGGACATTTTGGGGGATTTGGGGACATTGGGGCAGGATTTGGGGTCCTTTGGGGACATCAGGAAGGGATTTGGGGACATTGAGGAAAGAATTTGGGGACACCGGGAGGGATTTGGGGACATCTGAGATAATCTGGGGACATTGGGGGAGAATTGGGGACATTTGGGGGGATTTGGTGACGTCAGGAGGGGATTTGGGGACACTGGGAGGAAATTTGGGGACATTGAGGAAAGAATTTGGGGGCGTTTGGGGACACTGGGGGCGAATTTGGGGACATTGGGGCAGGTTTGGGGGGGAATTTGGGGACATCCGAGGGAATTTTGGGACTCTGAGGGGATGTGGGGGCAACAGGAGCGATTTGGGGACATTTTGGGGGATTTGGGGACATTTTGGGGACATTTTGGGCGATTCAGGGACATTTAGGGGCGATTTAGTGACATTTTGGGGACATTTTGGGGGATTTTGGGGACATT